CTTCGGCCTCCTCTGCCACCGGCCACGATCGTCCTTTGTCGCGCCGCCCCGCGCCTCCACTGGCCACCGTCGTCGTGAGCTCCTCCGCTATTGGAGTCGCCCGCTCCTGATCTAGTCGCGTGGGGGCTAGACCCGCCTCCGGTGAGGCCGGATTCACCGTGCCGAGCACTCCGGCCATCGCCTCCCGCCCGAAACGCATCACTCCATCTGTCGCGTCGAGGAGGAGCTCTATCTCCGGATGGTTTTCCGGCCACCGCCTTCCCGGCCGGCTACGCGGTTTCCGGTAGTGGGCTCCAGCGGCGGCGAGGCTGCCAGAGGGTTGAGGAAGGTGGCGGCGTGGGTGGCTAGGGTTTCGTCCCTGAGCCGCTCGTGCGAGAGCGACACGGGAGAGTTTTTTCTTGGTGGGGAAGGACTTCAATTCGTACGCAACTTCTCATTCCAAACTTGGGCACATTTGCTACGCGGGAGTTAACAACGCTTTCACATGGCAATGGAGGTGGAGAGTGCTAATCACCCTAGGTCCCTAACGCTAATTTCGACATTTGGTACGTGATCTGTGCGAGCGTGTGCGGGGCAAGTTTAGTCCCACACCGCTAACGAAACCTGGCTCCCGCCAGCGTAAATACTCTGTTCCGTGCCTAGCAGCTCGCCGAGCTCGGTAGCGTGGGCTTGTAACTCCAGCTATGGGAGGGCCTGTTTGGTTATATGTGTCGCTTGGTTTGGGCTTGGATCCCATGTCAAAGGGGGGCATAAGTGCCCGCACCCCCGGCTGTTGACATCCTTAGGATGATTGGCCTCCTCAGTGAAAGGATTCGGCCACCAACAACCCAGCTAAATCAGGCTGGATGGGCCCCCAAGCAAAGCCCGAAAAACGACTCCTTTTTGGAGGGTCATTGGTCTTCTATTTCACTGAATCGTCTACAGGTTTATTCTCGCAGTATTTCACTCAAGTAGCCCATGCCGTAGCGAGTTTGCGAGTTATATTCCCAAACAGATTTTTAATTCGCCTTCTATTCTACTCACTCTTTTTTTTTTTTGAGAGTGAACTCACTCTATTTTTTACTTTCCACAAATTTAACTATCTCAAGCAATAGGTTTTGAATTTGAACGCCCATGTGGTTACAAACTGAATAAGCCCGCCCCAATTGGGGCTTCCGTTTGACGCAGTTAAGAATTGGATCGCTGCGAGACACCACGACGGCGATAGAAAGGACCTTGACATTAGGGTTCCACCAGGCCCAAATGAGGGCCCCCTGTTCAATACACACAGCCAGCAACAACAACAATACTCTGCACACGAATTCACATCTGGAAGTACAAGGCTACAGAAAGAATGAGGGCGACGATTTGGTGTGGCCGATTCACCGAAGCCGCTTGGGAGACACTCCCAGAAGGGCCGTTTGCAGGAGAAACGTTGGAGCTCCCAGGGAAGCCCGGAATATCGCCGCCAGCCTCCCCAGCTCCTGGTGCAGGTGATGGAGCAAGGTATGATCCTTGGTTTACTGCAATTGGTGTCGCCCTGAGTGGGGGGAACTGATGTGGTCCTGTGTTGAGAGGTTTGAGTGAGAAGCAATATATAGATCAGATCATAAATATAGGAATTGATGATGCATGGCCAACAGGCAAGTGAAGGAATTTTAGAATACCAAGTTGGTTTAAACCTTTATTATTCTGGTTTTGGTGTGATTTGATCAGACTCCAGAAAGACTGATGTGGTTTGGCTTAAAATTGCAATGCCGATAAATATGCCAGAAACATGTTTTCAATAAGAAACAGAAAAATTGCCGCCACTCCTACTGTCCTACACCTTTTTTCTTGAAATGAATATAATGCATTCAGTGACTCGGATAAAATCATAAGTTCCTCATTCAATGATACATCATGAACGGAAACCTTGATGTGGCTTTGTTTCATTGTTTGCGACTAGTATTCCAGAAACATGCTTTTAATAGCTACTACAGCACTTTCACTCTTCACATTTAACTTTAAATGAACATAACGCACTTAATTACTTGGATTTTACATATGATCCTTGATCAAATGACTATTATTTAAAGAATGCCAGTGATGCATAATTGAACATTTTTAATTTAATTTGAGCTTCTTTTCTTCTTTAGTATCATTATGTGTTCACTTTTTGATCAGACAATACCAAGTGCATCTTTTCAAGAAGACGGGTCTAGATGGATAGAGCAAATAAGTGATAGTGTTGCATATTCCGTATGCAGCACATAGGAAGAGATATCATGAAGATAACACTGTAATTACCTGGGCATGTGGGTTGAAGACCAGAGGAGAGCCTGCGCATAAGTTAGGTAAGAATCATCTATTGTAAGAATATAAAAAAGAAAGGTTTATTAGACTTATTTTTTACTTACGACGTGGCAATGGTTCCATTAACAAGTCCAGCATAGCTGCAAGATGAGACATTGCATCCACCACTGGTGGATTGGGCAGTCACATTCCCAAGCATGAGGTTGCTATTGGGGCACTGCATACTTGAACATGATGCTGTTAATGAAGCTGGTGTGCAATACAATCTGCAGAAGAAGAGAGAAAATGAGGACTATATTCCAAAACATGTAGAAGCAATAGAATTGCATTGAACAAGGAAAAGGCAGCATTACTTGAGATCTCCTGGTCCACAGCTGCACTGCACACAGTTTCCAGCAGTTAGTGCATAGGTCCCATTTGCCACAAGCAATCCATAGTCCGAAGCAGAGTTGGGAAACATTGATGCACAGGCTAGTCGAAACAAATTACAGATATCATCAGAAAAAGGCAAGTTTATCAGCCGAGAAGTACAGAAACAAGGTACTGCTATCCAACCCAAGCATCACTCTTGCACATAATTAGCAATTCACAGTTCACAAAGGATCCATCCCTGATAATTCCTACCAATAATCCAATACGCACATCTAGCTTGTTTGCTGGATACCATATTCAATCAAACCAAAAGTTGTTCACTTTCACGACATGTTAGACCACCGACACGTACCACACAAGCACATAAAAATTGATCTCTGACAATCTAGCAATTGCAACCATTGCATGTCTTAACAATGGACCATATGCAATACTTCAATATTTACAGATCCTAAATTTGTCAAATCCACATGTTGAAATATACATTAACCAAGTAAAGATGACCTAACTATCATCAATTGCAGCTGTACAGAACTTTCACTTCAGTCTGCAGGCCTTCCCTACCCGATTCGCCATTATCAAACAGGGCATGAAAATGTTGATATTATCTAAAAAAATTGAAAATGTCGATCTGATTATTGTTGAATTGGGCATATCCACAGATATCACAAGTTTACAACAGCAGATAAGTTTACAGTCAAATTGGTAAGAAAACAACGTGGAATGTTGCTCCGATTCATCGGATTGTCTCTAGTTGCAAGGAAATATATTCGAATTTTGGTGACATACAACGGAGAGTTTGTTTACCTGGCAGTGGGATTGCAAGGATGTCACCAGGTGCGACAATGGGGCTCCCCATGGCGTTCACATTGCTGATGTCCGTAACGGTGGTGGCGTGGGTCGCGGCGATGGACTGCACGGTGTCCCCGACCCGCACGACATAGGAGAGGTACACGGCGGGGAGGTTGTTGTCCGTGGAGTTGAAGCAGGCGCAGGGGAGCGGGACGACGAGCGTGGCGCCGGCGTCGAGCGGCGCGTCGGGGTCCTCGGCGGAGAGCCCGTTGGCGGTGCGGATCTGGTCGGCGGAGGCGAGCCCGGCGAAGACGACGTCGGCGACGGACGCCAGCGTGTCGGCGGGGCGCGCGGAGTAGCGCACGGCGACGGACTTGCGGACGCCGTCGGAGCAGGCGCACCGGGTGGGGACGCGGAGCGGGAGCCCCGCGGGGAGGATGCGGTTGGCGGCGCCGGGGGAGGCGAAGTCGAGCGCGTTCGCGGCGAGCACGGCCCTCGGGTCGGCGCCGAACAGCGCCGCCACCTCCGACACCTTCATGTCCGCGTACAGCGTGTACCCGAGCAGCGCGGCGCACGTGTCCGCCCCCGCGCACGGCTCGATCGTCGTCTTCCCCGCCGCGCCGCCCGCCGCCGCCGCGAGGATCGCCACCACCAGCGCCCCCGCGGCCTCCGCCGCCGGCCACCCCGCCATTGGATGGAGCTTCGAGGGGGTTTAGGGTTTGGGCCGCTGTGGCTTTGCTTCGGGAGAAGCGTGAGCTGTTCGGCGCGTCTCAGTCACCGTGAAGCGTGAACTCGGGAAGAGTATGTGGGTGGGAGAAGAGTGTGGAGACTCGGATGCCCGGAGGTGAGTGACAGGTGGGGCCGGGTTTAGGTGGGTCCCACATGTCATGGAGACGAGGAAAGGGGACACCTTTTCGCGAGGAGTCTGTCTGATGTTGGAATTTGTACCTGTGCGAGGACGGGGAGGCCAACGTCTCGTGACCACATTAAAACTTATCTTTTCGTTTATACTTATTGAAAAAAAATATTTTTCTAATTTTAATTTGGAGTCGATTTTTAAGTTTTTTCATCGAAGTTTATTTTACCGTCTTTACTTTTTAAACCGTTAAGAATATATATATATATATATATATATATATATATATATATAAGTTTTATTAATAAAATATTTTTTATTTGCAAATATGACGTTTGGTTTATTAGATAGATAAGCGAAACGATAGGACCTTAGAATGACTTGTGGGCCATAGAAATGATTCGTGACCCACATGTCTGGTACCATATGATACTAGCACTAGGATGGTTGGGCCGAGTAATGTGATAGGACTTCTTGATTGGGCCAAGCTGGGTGGGCCCGGTTAACAAACTTCAGCTGAACTATTAGCTGCAACTTCATCATGATCTTCAGTTCATTAGTTTCTCTAATGATCAGTTTGATTTTGAGTAGTTGATGCTTCCATGTATTTGAAAATACATTTTGGCATTGATGCGGTCACATAAACAGATCTTTTTGTTGAAAATTTCAGCTCAGTTTAGCAAATTGTCAAGATGAAATATTGCGGTTAATGCACATGATCATGTATATATCCATGCAAGAAGAGCTAGTCAAGCTTTTTTTGCATCAAGAGAAAGTTCATTCCCGCCGAGCAATGCTGCTCGAGTACAGCTTTCAGTACCCGAAAACAATTGGTGAATTCCTCGCAAGAGTTACCAGAAAAAAAAATGGGGAAAAAACCTCTTGCAATCCTACCCACAACTGTCTGGTTCATAGGATCTGCAGGGAGCTAAGCAGGAGAAAACTAGAACTCTCAACTCAATTACAAACATTTTCTTTTTTTACGGGGTTCATTCTACGGGTTCCAAAATTATTCACTGCTGAATCAAATTCAGTAGCTGCAGGGAGAAGATCATAGGTTTGGGAGATTTGCTAGGACTTAAAGAGGAGGAGACAGCGCGAATCGCACGCTCTTGGTTAACAATGTGAAGCTGTCAGGTGCTTCAAGCTTGAGATGTCGAACAGCTCCATGAATCTCTGATCGGTGCTCCTCGCCTTCGCAGCGGCGAAGCGCTGGTACTCGTCGAACACTGAAGACAAGCACCATTTCTGAAGCTTCCTCAAGCACCCCACGACGCAGCCGGTGCGGTGCTGAAGATAGGGAAACATTGGAGCAGTCAGTTTAGGATCTCAGAGTTCTTGCTTTGGAAGATAATGGCAGCAATTGCAGAGTTTAGTGTGGGAACTGATTAAGCTTACCTTGCCTCTCTTGCAGTGAATAAGCAGAGGTTGGTTTTTTACGTCTGTATCAAGAAAAGCAACAGGAGTTAAAGAGGTCTGAAATGTTGTGATGCAAGCGTGCGATGTGAGGAGAGTTAGATAATTGCAGTACCTAGGACAACTTTGAGCGCCTCTCGAATTTTGTCGTCAGGGATGTTGACGAATGGTTCCTGTAGCAACAGTAGTTCAGATGTTGTCAGTCATCAGCTGTGGAGATATCAGGTTTTCAGACTAAGAAAAAACAGAGTGCATAATGAATTGTTGTGACAAGAATCATATTTATAAGTGATATGTGGTGCACATAGTTGCATAATCCTAAATATTTTACATTTAAAACATTTTATACAAAGTGTCAGGAACAAGGTTATCATTTTCAGTAAGGTTGGCCATGTCACTGGAGAAAATGCACCAAGGTCAACGCAGATCAGAAGAAATACAAGATGGTCAATTCCTATAAAACTCTGACAGTGAACTATTTTATGAGTCCCCTAGTTTCCTTCCTTGAGTGAATTTCAGCAACAGGGCCTATTTTTTTAATGGAGAGAAAAAAAGCAACTTTGCTAAATCTAAGAGATTTCATTGTTTTTCTAACGAAAATAAAGTAGGATTTGGAATTAGGTCAACCATCCTAGTGGCCCTGTTAGTAAAAAAAAAATCCTAGTGGCCCTGCATCAAGAATTCCTATCGAGTTCATTGGGAATTCCTGCTCATGGCTTCTGCAAAAAATGGTCAGACAGTGCCAACACAGAGCAAACTGTGGATTATGGACAGCAACTATGACTCATACACCACAAGGTTGCCGGTTCATATAAATGACAATCTACTCAACTTCAGTTAGGTCATCGATGATGTCAAAATTTGAAAAAAAAAAAGAATGAATGGGACATTTGCTTTTGAGTATTTATAGCATAAAGCTAAAGCAAGAAGGGTGAAAGAAAAAATCAAACACTACTAGATAACTGATCTTGACCAGTACAGAAAACCAATAAACCACAAACTCAACAATGGCACTCAGAAAATCTGAGGCGTAACTGTATACATATTTGCCTAATTTGGGTATATTAATTTCATGAGTAGTGCATAACCAAGTTGTAAATTAGTAAACTCCGAAAATAACAACTCAAAATCATCCACAGGTAAAGCTGTACGAAAACTTGTCAGCTAAGATGCCTTCCAAAATCTTCTCATTAAAAATGTTGACAAAATTATGAAGTTTTACATATTGATAATTTATTGGGCCTCTACATGTTTGTTTTTTTTTTATCAAAGCCTTCTACATGTGGCGGAAACATATTTCCAATTAAGGTACAAAATCATGTACATTTTACTCATACCATGACATCTTACATCCAGGGCAACCAAGACACATAGACAAGATCCACAGCTACTTCAGTGGGAAATTGGGGAATATATGGAAGCCATGTGTTGACAGTACAGCAAGAAATAAAGCTAAAGTTATTCCCAGTGCTTAGACCCATTGCTGCTTGACGACCACAGGCATGTGAGGTGATCCAACTGATAAATTAACGGCAAACATATAGTACATAAAAGAAAATCAGTATCTCTCCAGTAAGAATTATCAAGTTCATCTCCCCATTTTTGTATCTAGCACAAAATTACAGTTCTCAAAAAACGGAGACAGATCCAGACCGTTAGTGCTCCCATCAACAACAAAACAAGATAGGTCCGGCAAACAACCAAACAAGATATTGGACAGCACAATGTGTGGATATGGGCATGCAATCTATTATATCTATTCTTAGGTGCCATCCGTGTAGCGGAAAACTACAACTCCATTTCATGCAACTTGCCTCAAGAAGCTAAATGGACACTATCTGCAGATAGCTTTGACAGCTTAGTAAGCCCAATGCGGATTACTCAAAATTCTGCATTGACCAAGAAGTTTACTCAAACAACTTTGACAAGATTTTAAATTCGTAAAACTTTCACAAACTGTCTTTTTTTTTGCAATAATGCATATTTAACATAATCAAAAGAATCATAACATTGGCTAAAATTGTATATACTGTTGGGATCATTAAAGCTGCCAACGAAAACCAACAAGTTCTGAAGAACATAGGGTATGAACAGGACGGTGAGCAGATAAGTAGGACATGAACAGGAACTTAAGCTGCTCACCCTGAATCCACAACAAGAAAATTCATGTGTCAGAGTAATTCCACAATTTACCTACCTATCAGAACAGTGAAGAAATCATTCAAACAAGAAACAGAACAAAGAAGAGAAACGAACAGGCACCTCCTGTACAGAGAAGATGCTGTCTGCCAAAAGGGATGATATGATGCACACTCACTGATAGCCTTGTAATTGCAGGATCACGCAAATAAAAAAAAATCGGAATACTGGAAAAAGAATTGTTTAAAATCCACCGCACAGCTGGCTTGATTAACAATGCTGACAGGGACCACTGCCGATTCGCCGTGAAATTTGAAAATTCAGCAGGTCTTTTTTAGATAATGAAAATTCCCCAGCGTTACAACGAACAACTAGGAGCCTAGGCGAGTAGCCGAAGGGGCCCTTTTTGGAAATTCAGTTGATGATTAATAAATTCACAAACGAATCGAATTCTTCCCCCAAAATCACCGCCAGTGGCAGCACTACCAATCAGGAGTGAACAACGCGATGATCAAACCGTACGACGATACGTTATTGGAAAACATGAACCGGTTTTATATGATTCTAGTAAGAATCGGAATTGACAACGAAAGATAACTCAAATTTTTTCCATGTTTCGTTTACCTTGCGCCCCTCGATTCCGAACTGGTGGAGCTTGATCCCGTTCTTGGCGAGGAACTCCGCGTTCGTCTCCGGGTACGGCTCCGGGCACAGGTACCTGATGACGTCACCCTCGTCAGAACCACACGAACACGCGCCACACACCCGCGAAGCAACCCAACCCAACCCAACCCCTAGATGCAACAGACGAGGTAGCTAGCTAGAGAGAGAGAGAGAGAAAAATTCCTCACACGATGGAGCGGAGGTTGAGCGACTTGAGGAACCGGAAGTTGGCGGCCGCGGGGAAGCCGGAGCGGAAGATGCCGTCGTCGACCATCGCGAAGTTGAGCGGTGGCACCAGCGTCGCCTCCTCACCACACGCCGCCGCGGCCGCGGCCGCCGCCGCCGGCACAAGCGGCGGCGGCGGCGGCGGCGGCGGGAGGAACACCACCATGGACGCGGGCTTCTCGTGCTTCCACAGCTCGAGCCCGCTCATCTCCATGGCCTCCTCCCTCTGCTCGGCCTCCATGGCCCTCTGCTTCGGCATCACCTCCAGCTTCATGGCTACCGGCTTCGCCTTCGCGCGGTGGAGCGGAGGGGGGCAGAATCGTAAATTCGAGCGGAAGAGGAGGCGGATTTGTGTGCGCAGCGGGTATGAGCGCTGTGGTGTTGTGCGTGGGTGTAAACGGGAAGTGACGGGTTATTTATAGGAGGGAAGGTAGGCTCGTAGAGGAGGAAAAGTTTGAGTAGAGGAAGAGGTTAGAGGATGGGGTGTGTGATGATGATTGAAGGAGAAAGGTGAATTTTTGGGATAAGAAGTGCTCTGTTGGGGGTGTTGTATTATTACGAGAAACGTATTGGTGGTTGGTTGTATTAATTGCGGGACTTGATTTCGTGACGAATGAGTCAGCGAGCGGCGGATGACAATACGACGGCTTTGTTTGTTTGGGGAAGTTTTCTTTATGGAGAACCACTCTGGTTTTAAGGAATGTTTAGTTGAAAGGTGTTTTTTCGTGCAATACTAGTAAATGCTTTTCTTGAAAATAGTTTACGCTTTTTTATTTTTTAATTAATAACATATAAGTTTTCTTTCACGAAAAGTGTTGTGATGTGGGCGCTCGGTGTTCGCCTTTAGCATAAAAGTATGATATTGGGAACGGATATGACATGATCTTTTTCTCTGTTAGCAAGGGATACTCTTACGTAATCTTTACTTTTATGCAACAACGGAATAGAGTGAGGTTATGTTATTATGTGAAACTCACGTCTTATCGTCACACGTGTAAAGAACCACTTTATATATAGTGGTCCTATCAAAACATGTTTGCGCGCCTCTCTTTTGTATCAATATGTGTGCATTTGTTTGTTACCATGATTTTACACACATATTTTTCAAAAAAAAACAAGAGAGATCTTTCTTCGTATATATCAATGTTACAAATGGAGGCACCTGAGTATCATAGTGAAGTTGAAACCGCATGACTATAACCATGCTATATATATTTTTCTCTACGAGACTATGCTACTACGATTTTTAGCTCGCCACTGATCCGTTGGCGCATGTGGCTAGGTTATTGCTGCAATTAAACATATTCATGGCTATTTTCATACATGGTACGTTCATCCTATTGCTAATAGTGAACTTACATGTCCATGCTCCCATGAGAGCAGCTTATGTGGTCCTAGCAACACATAACATGAGGTGTTCGCAACCACCAAACTCGTTCCAAAAAGTTTAGAATAAATTTGAAACAATTGTATAAACTATGTTGCAAGTAATTAAAAAAATATGTCCCTAAGATTTTAAAGGAATACATAATTTGTGCAAGGAGAAAACAAAGAAAATTTTCCCTATTTCTAGTTTGTTTAGCAGAATTTATTTCTTCAACGAGTGTTCTGAATTTTGATTTTGTTTTCTTGGATTAATGACAGATAACATTGTACTATATGCTACAAAATTGTTTAGAATAATTTCAACAAAGGTATTGTGGGTCGAGTTACTTAGATTCAATTGACAAATGCAGATATATATGCTGTTCTATTGCAAACATGCCAAACATCTGAATTCTTTTTTTAAAAAAAATAAAACAGTAAATCAAAGATCAATTTAATATTTGTCTCAAAAGATTTTTTTTCTTTATCCTTTCATAATTTTCCTCCACAGTTTTCCACATTATTATGTTTTGTGCTTTCGATTCTCCAACCAAAACCAGCATCACGCACCTACGACTAGCTACTATCTCTGGCCATAATTAAGTATTTAACATTTAGAATAAGAACTGGTTAAACTTTTGGAACATTAACCATAAATTATATATTAAAATAAATTTATAAAATATGATATATTTATTATGATAACATTTTTAAAACCAAATCTACATACGCTCTTTCTAAAACTTAACATTTGAGAAGTTATTGCTAGCTAAAGTATCAAAAGTTTGACAATTATTTTCTAGACATGAAATATTTACTACGGGAGGAATATTATACTGGAAACAAATTAAACTAAAAATTTCCTGAAATTGGCTATATATATAATTGCCACAATCTTTTTTTTACAAAAATACTCGTCCAAGTTTTTCTCCCGGCGAATGGTCAGCGCATATTTATTTTCAAGATAGAGATCGATGGTCATCATCACGTTTTGGATAGACCACTTTTCATGGTTTACCATCTGCTTGACACCATGAGTCCATATATGACCCCTCCCCCAAGTCATTAGTGCACGCCCTACGAGTAGTACCAACCCTAATTGCACGGTTATTATCGGCCTCAATTTTTTTTTGTCATGCTTACGCACGCAGCCAACCATGGTGGCTACTTCTCTCCCTGGACCAATTGAGGAATGGACCATATGGCGGCCGTTGCACTGTGCACCCACAGGCACCAAGGGTATCTCGTCAGGAAACAAACTCTGACAGAGAGTGGTAAATCTTGCTTCCTCTTCTTTAAACTCCTTGTTTTCTTTTTTACGATTACACGACAAACACACGAAAAGTTCATCTATAATTCTATATATACGTAATATTCATGACCACTATTTTTTAAACCCAAATGAGTGAGCTATGCACCTATGACTCTATCCCGTACTATTAGTGGTTCAATTTTTTTAACTCATTTTGTTTTAAGAGCGTAATAAATATCAAAATTTAAAAGAAGCTTCAAGGAAAAATAATTTTCTTGACACTCATTTTGATGTTCGAAGATGAGCTTCCTCTTTTTGCAAACCGTACCAAGGGACGTAAGGAAAACACAATACAGTTCAAACTCAAGATTTTGGTCTGCTTGTTCCGTTGTTCGTTTCTGATGAATGGGACGATGGATAATGAGCACAGTGCTAAGCTCCTAAATAATGCGATTTTATTTAAGAAAATATTTATATGAATTTCGTAGAATACTTCTCAAAATCCATTCTAATTTTATAATATCTATTTCATTCATTTGTACCGTTAAATAATAGTCACAAATCATTCACCTATTGAGCTAATCAATACAAAATAACATATACTTACCTGTTTACCATAGCAAAACTATCAGGAGGCCTCTGCCGCGCCACATATACTCATACATCCGCATATAGCCATTTTGCAATTTTTAAACTGCTGGCGTCATCGCAAAACCTTGTCCACACTATAAAAATACGAATAATACAAACGGAAAAAAAACATATATGAAAGTTATAAAATAGGAGATGGGACCTCTAGCAATAATGATTAATTAATATTTCTCCTCCTTCAAGGGATCTAAAAACCAAGACAGATTAGATCTAGAAATTCCATTCGAATCATGCAGTATATTCCAAAGGCTAGGAAAATGATCAAAAGCGCATTATCCAATACACACGTGGTAGTGGATGATCCGGGCGGTCAAGCCCGACGTTTTTGACGCGCACGCAGGCGGCGTTCCATCGATCGGCTGCCGGCTTGGCCGCTACAGACGTTGGCGCGGCGCGCGTCGGAGCGGCTGCGTTCGCGACACGACGCCGTCGTGTGGGGCGTCGTATGGGGACTATGGTCCATCCACACGACCGGAAACCAGCAGGCAACAGCGGCGCCTGTGACGGCTGCTGGATTATTTTGGCTCACGATCGGTCGATGTGATGATGTGATCGTCCCCGGCATTTCTCGGTTGGATCTAGAGAGACTTGACGACCTCGTGAGGATTATCCGGTTGAATCTGAATATCTGATCGAGAATTTGGATCTCTCTCCGGTCCTGGAAGCTTCCTTGCATCGTCTTGGCTTATCCTTTAGCTCAAAAGCATTGCTACACTTACTAATTTTTTTCTTATTAAATTTATACTAACAATTATCTTAATCATTTGATTTAGATAGATAAAAGTTACATAAAATCTAGATACACTCGTAACATGATACAACAGTGTTAGTAAGAAACGTTGGCACATATAGTCTTTTCCTTAGCATAATTACATTGTCACTGTATATTTTCATTTACCTTGTAACTCACTATAAGCCGTACTGGTAGAGAAACCATCTTTGGTCGGTCGAACCAAATCCATAATAGTCCCGATTCCATTAAAAACCGGGACTAAAAATGATTTTTAGTCCCGATTTATAAGAATAACAGGCCTAGATGATCTTTATTCCCGGTTGATAACACCATCTTTAGTCCCGGTTGGTTCCCTGTCAGACCGTGTCAGGCACCTAGGATCTTTGGTCCCGGTTTGTAACACCAACCGAGACTAAAGATCTAACTTTAGTCCCGGTTGGTATTACTAACCAGGAATAAAAATCAACACGTACTATACAATCTCTATTACTTATCCTCTCCTCTAGTCCACACAGCAAATTCTCTCTCTCTCTCTCTTTTTTTCCCTCTCTCTTTCCTGCCTTATCTCTTTCTTTTTGGGATCGATCGAGATCGAGATCGAGCGAGAGCGGGCCAGCGTGGTGGGGCGGTGGCCGGCGGCCGGCGCGGAGGGGCGGCGGGCAACGTGGCGGTGGCAGGCCGGCGCGGAGAGGAGGCGGCAGCGGCCGGCCGGCGCCTCTGTGAATTTTTTTTTTTAGAATTTGTGATTTATTGCATGATCCTGTGATATATTGATTTGTGTGCGATGTATTTGCGATGAATTTTGTAGAAGTGATGTAATTTGATTTATGTGTAATTTTTTTTAGGATTTGTGATGTATTTGATTTGTATGTATAAGTAACTTCAAGATTTGTGATGTGGATTTGGGATGTTATTTTGATTTGGGATTTGGGGTTTAATTTGGGGATATGCATTCCACTTGATTCGGGAGAAAATAAAAAAGAAAAAAAAAAGAAAAATGGGACCATCTGGACTGCTGTTATTTCCTCTTTAGTCCCGATTGGTAACACCAGCCGGGACTAAAGATTTCTATCTTTAGACCCGGTTGGTGTTACTAACCGAGACTAAAGATCGATCTTAGTCCCGGTTATTTCACCCGGGACTAAAGATAACGATCTTTAGTCCCGAATTCGTAGTTCCGGTTGAATAACCGAGACTAAAGGGGGTTACGAATCGGGAGGAAAGATGGTTTCTCCACCAGTTGATAAAAAACAATTTATGAATTTATGAATAAAATTTTTTAATATATTTTTCTTATCAACTTGAAAGCTCATATTGAAAATTAGGTTGTGATAAAAAATATTAAAATTAACTCTAAATTAAGTTTTAAATTAAAGTTTCTGTTACACGGTTGATGGGTGAAA